AGGCGACTTTTTTTTTTTTTAATGGTAATTAGATAATTGCATGAAAGCCCATTTTAATTAGATGGTTTTGTTTTTGCCTCAATATAATTTATTATTATCAAATAGGTCTAGGAAATTTCCACATTGTTTCAAACGTAACTAATCGATGATGAATCAATTTTCTTCACTTAAAATTTACTAGGGCCTTCTCTGCTCCACAAGAATCATTCAGTGTTCATCTAGCATGCATATACACAATTTGCCCCCTAGCTGCCTATCATATGATTCTATTGTTTACATACTTCAATATTGATGCTTTTATAGTTGGATAAAGCCGAAAATAAACCTAACTAATTTAAAATACATATGATGATACAATACAAATATAATATATAAAAAAATAAAAATAACATGATTTAAAATTTATACAATAATTATATAATATTTAATAAAACAAAATAATATATTTTATATTTTTATGTAGATACGAATTATAACACAATTTTTATGTAAAACATAATATAATTACTCACAACATAAATACCACGAACCGTAGGATCAATATGAAAACAAAATTCATACTTCAGTTTAATCTCCAGGTTTGAAATCTTTAGTCCCATGGAATGGATTCAAGTTGGCTCAAATTCTTAAGGTCCCTATCATTTTCTTTAAATTGTTGATATAAAAAGTGGAGAGAACGAAGTAATCATTTCCTTCTCTCAGTTTGATCATAAAACATTCAGACCCTCCACATTTATTTTATTGTCTAGTGATCTTCAGGATAAGTTTGTGCTATTGATGCAAATAAGACAAATGTAAAGAAAATTTTCTCATGTCTAATATGAACCTTTTGCCTATACACTTCAAGTTCAATTCATAATCACTCCCTTCCTTCTCCATGTTCCTTCTAAGGCAATGTAGTATCTCATACATCTCCATTGTTTTCAGGGATGATGAATCCCTTGAGAAGAAAACATCAACCTTATTCCTCAGTTCAATCCAACTACATCAGGGTTTTTCTTCAATCCCTTTTCTTTCATTGTTGATCGTATGTTTGCAGCCTTGTCCCACAATTCAGATTCTCCATACAAATGTAACAGTGAACATAAATTGCGTGCCCCCGTCTGGTTTCCAGTTTCAGCAAGTTCTGAGCTGCCAGTCCCCAAGCTCCACATTAGAATGGGCACGGGAGCACATAACATACTCAACCAGACACTCCTATCAGGTTCCATGGGCATGGTTTTATAAATTATAAGCATCCTCCAAACGTCGGCACGGCCCAAAAGATCAATAATGTTTACATAGTGCTCCATTTAGGTTCAATCGCATGCTCCACTGTCATGCACTGAAATATATTGTGGCCTTCATCAACCAGACCAGCAATGATTGCAAGATGAAATCAGGGAAAGAAAAGTAACATCATCAGGTTTTATTCCACAATTTCTTCATCTCATCAAATAATGACAAAGCTTGAAGGCAATTCCATGAGATCCATAACCAGAAATCATGCAATTCCATGTAACTACATCTTTTCTGAGACATGTGTTTGAAAATATATACTCTGCAATATTTTAAGAATCCGCACTTAATATACATATCCATCAATGCATTCTCCAACTGAATATCAGATTTAATCTCTAGTCTAACAAGATATCCATGGATGACTTTCCATTAAGTAAAGCTGCTATGGACGAAACTGCAGCAAGAACACTGGTAATGGATACAGAGTCTGGATAAAACCATGCTGAACTATTTTAGAAAAAGATTTATCGACTGGTCAGGCAGACCATTTCGGCAATAGCATGACATCATCAAATTCCAAGTAACAAGATTTTGTGTGGCATATCAGAGAATAAATTTTCGGCCATATCCGGGAAACCACATTTTGAATACATATCAACAAGGGAAGAACCAACATAAACATCTCGGTCCAACCAATTTTGATCACATATCCATGGATCATGCACCCCTGAATCTACATTCTCCAATCCCGTACAAGCGCTAATGACACTTGACATAATATCAGAATCTGGTCTTACTCCATCAGCATCCATCTTCCAAAATAATCTAAAGCTTCTCTGAACTTACTATTTTGACAAAACCTGATATCATGGATCCCCAAGCAACCACATCCCAATTTTCCCTTATTGTGCGAAGAACAGAATTAGCATCATCAACACTGCCAGACTTACAGTACATGGTCAATAAAGCACTCTGTACAGTAGTAGCTACTGTCTATAGGTCTTTTCACTAGTTCTGCATGAACTGACCTCCCTACATTGTATATTCCAATCATACTGCCACATGATAAAACATTAGACAGCGTAAAAGAATCAGGGGTTATTAAATTACATCTCATCTTGTTGTACACTTCAAAAGCAGCATAAGAATATTATTACAAACAAAAGTCGATATCATAGCATTCCATAATTCAATTCCTTTATCCAAAACCTGATGGAAACATTTTCTGCATCTTCAACAAATTGGCATTTTCCATACATGCTTAAAGAGAAGTATAAACAAAAGGGTTATTTTCAAATCCCAATTTGATTAAATCACAATGAACTTGCCTTCCAAAATCCACAACATCACCATACCACAGGCACTCAAGGTACTACTAAAACGACTCTGATACAAACTTGACATCTCACCTTTCATTAAAGAATACAACTTTATGCTCCATCCCACCATCCATTCTCTAAAAACCACCAAATCATCACATTCCAAACCACCACGTTGCTCTTATCTTTCAAATGATGAAACACAAACCAAGCCTCCATGATTCGACTACGATTCGAATACATATCAATCAATGCAGTTTCCAAAAAAGGGTCACTCTTAAACATATTCCTAACTATGTAACCATGAATTTGCTGTCCTTCCTTAAACCCCAAAACACCAAGAAGAATAGAGAGTGAGTAAGCGTCAGGAAGTAACCAAAAGCCTGCATCTTATAAAAATGAGCCAAACCCTCCTTTATTTGACCAAACTTAAAATACCCATCAAGCAAAGAGTTCCAAGAAGTAACATCCTTAACAAAAGCTTCTCTTTCAACCATTTTTTTCAAACACATTAACTGCATAAGAAAATAACCCACATTTCACATACATGTTTATAAGTGAAGTGGTGATAAAAGGGTCAAACTGGAGACCCGATAGGATGATTGTGGAATGAAGGGTTTGCCATAGGTAAGGTTAGAGAGGAAAGTGGAAGCTTTCAGAAGAGAGGGGAAAGTGAATTGGGTGGCTGAAAGTGGGGAAACAGAGAATAGTTTGTAAGCTTTTGTGAATTGGCCTCGTTCAATAAAGGCTTTGATGTTGAAGTTGAGTAAGGCTGGGGAAAGATGGGAGCTTTCATGATGTGAAAGTTGGCGTGAGAGGCGCGTAGTTTGATGCATTTCTGCATTGTTGCAGCTGTCTGCAACCAGAAAGTGAACAACAGATTTATTGTTAGCTACAAACTACTACGTTTGAGAAAAAAATTTTCGGAAAAACCAAAAATTTATTCGAATTGGCTGTGTTTGATTTATTTCGGATTTATTTTTTTTATTTGATTAGATTAAATTTAAAGATTAAATATATCTATTAAATTTTGGATCAATATTATGAAAAATTAAAAAAAAAATAAATCGAATCAAAATATATATTTTTATTAATTTATATATTTTTAAAATTTTTATAAAATAAAAATAATTATTTTATATATATTTGTTTTAATATATTTAAATTTTTATTAAAATAACATATAAAAATAAAAAAATTAAATTTTAAAAAACAATTAATCAAACTGAATTAATAAAATTCTATTTAAATTGGATTAATTTTTTAAAAAAAATATCGATTTGAATTCAATATCAAATTTTAAAAATTTATAATTTATACATTATTCAAAAAATCGAATCAAATTCAAGTCAATCCAAATTATTATCATCTTCATAAGCAAATAAAATAATTATACCTATTAAAATAATATATAAAAAATTAAAAAATTAAATTTTAAAAATCAATGAATTGAATTGAACCAGTAAAATTCAAATTTAGATTGGATTGATTTTTAAAAAATTAATTTAAATTCATATCAAATTTTAAAAATTAATAATACTATATATTATTCAAAAAATCAAACCAAATCCGATCTAACTTGAACTATTATCTTATAAACAAAAAATAATAATTATATTTGAATGTTTTATTAATAATTTTTAATTTTTAATAACATCTAAATATAAATATAAATTTTCAAAAAAAAACAATAAAAGTAATTGTAAAATGAGACATCCATGGAGCTAGAATTTTAATTCATTTGATTTACTTCATTATTTTTAAAAAGTGATGTTTTATAAGTTGGGAGTCAAAGCCAATACCTATATATTTTTTTGTTCTTAAATTGCAATGACCTTTATACCATAAAATAAACTTTAGTAGCTATGTTTCTTGGACTTTACTTAGACTTAAATATTAGATATGTTTAATATTTTAAAAAAAAAATTGAATAGATTTTTTAAAATTATTTAATAATTTTCCATCAAAGCTTAGTAAATTTTTATTTTAATTTTTATACAAAGAAAATCAAAATTTGAAAACTTTAAAAAAAAAATGTTCATATGTAAAACAAGAATACTTCAACTAGTAAATTTGCTCAATAGCATATGTATAATCATGGAAAATTTTAATAAAAATTTCACTTTCTTTTTTTTATGTATAAAGGAGACTACAACCTGGGGATAGGAGAAAAGGTTGCAGATACTAAGATTGAAACTCTAAACCTGTTAAAAATCACATCTTAAAAGTAACTGCATGAATCAACTGATTTTAATTTTGAACTCAAATTATATTTTATTTTTTATTACAGTTTGTATGTTGTTATTTAACCTAATTTGGATGCCTATCATGAATCATAATCAATAGTAGCTGCTTCATACAAGCCAAGTACCTCTCAACTGATATATAAGATAGCATGCAATAAGATTCCTTCCTTAATTACCAAAGAACATCATGAAAGATAAATACAATGACCTTGAAAAGAATCAGCTTAAAGCTAAATTTATTGTCAGCAACAAAATCCCCCACTTTGCAAAATAAATCATCTAACAAATTTCTCCAATGGGTAATTTACTTCCTACTATTTAGGCATAATATGAGGGAAATGTATTTTATATATAAAAAATAAAAAAGTTAAGGTAAATGACAATCAGGTCCTGGCTACATGATCCCGCTTCCTTGACAAGAACAGTAGGTTTCAAACTTCTTCAACCTACAAGTGACAAGTTATAGCTTAACAATTAATTCAACAGATTTATACCACCATTAAAGACCACAAAGAAAAGACATGTATATGATAGTCAAAAAGGTTCCTTGTTCATCAACATTAAGGAGTTTGAACGACCTGAGGGAGGCTCATTAATTCAAGAACAGCTTTTTTTGGGGTTAGCTCACTGTCAATAATCCGAGCAATGGCTGTCAGGACTGGCATTTTAACATTATATTTCTGGGCTAATGCAATCACAGCTCCAGCAGTTGACACACCTTCGGCTACCTACAGTATGTACTAATCATATTAAATGGCCAGATTTTAAGCACTAACGGCCAGTGTAAGAATTTAGAAGCACCTGATTCATGGAACTGAGTATATCTTCGAGCTTCTCCCCTGATCCAAGACGAACTCCAACTGTTCTATTTCTTGAAAGATTTACAAACATGTAAGCATAATGTCTCCAGTTCCAGACAGACCAGTAATTGTCGCCGGCTTTGCACCCATCTATAGATGTGTACTAAAAGAATTGTTAGATAACACAATTTACAGCATGAAATTATTTATTTGAATGAGCAATAAGGAGCATATCAACATTCTAGCCAAAACCCAGGGGGGGGGGGGGAGAGAGAGAAACTAAGGCAGATCCTCATAGCTAAGGTTTCAATCAAGGACCTCCGCTCTGCTTAATAGCCAGCTAATGAAAAGAAAAAAACAAAAAAAGGGGTAGGGGTAGGAGCGACATACCTTCGTTGCTAGCCACCGTATCTCAGAACAACCTTGTGCTACAAGAGCTGCCATGGAATTGTTACCAAGATTCATACCATCTACAATCCCAGCAGCTATTGCAAGAACATTCTTCAGAGCACCTGCAATTTCGACCCCTGTAACATCACTGAGGTTATCAGAAGTTACAAGCCGAGCATATGCACATCACTGCTTACCTACAACTCTTGACTGTACACAAAATCAACCATATAAAAACTGCATGCAGACCTAAAGCAGAGATCAGGGGACAAACGAGATTCTTAAGCAGAGAGGGATAAATTTGGTATATGTTGTTTTGGATGTTGTTGCATTAGAGCCTCATCACAGACAAAGAATAGTAACTGAAATGTAGTAATTATGGCAAACGGAGATATTTGCGTGAAAGAGAGAACTATAAACAATGTTTTATACTAATAATACAATTTTTTTTTATTTAGTTTATATGATGAAGATCCTCTACCTTGAAGTGCTGATCCTTAAATAACTGGAAGCCAATAGCTGCTGAACTGCATTGGCCAATTTTTTGTCTTTTGATGCCACCACCATTGCTGCAAAGCAGAGGATAGGCGCAAAGCAAAATA